TCTGAGTAGCACTGCACCAGGGTTCTGAGTCCAACATCCGTGCCAGGCTGGCATTTTGAGCTGTGTAGTTCTGTGAGTTTTAATGCAGGTGCAGGTCTGGGCACCAGCATCCTAATCAAGATGCAGGCAGCTCCATCACTGGCACATCTCCTGGGTACCATCTCCTTATATCTGTGTCCCCAGCCCCCTTTCACTGCAGCTGGGCATCCGTTCTCCAGTCTGCGGCCCAGCCTTCCTGAGAATGTCATGAGGGGAGCTTTGAGATCTGGGGCCCTGAGGGTCACCCAGGTGGTTGCAGGTGTCTATGGCTCTTCCCCTTTCACTCTGAGTGCTGTCCGTGGCTCAGATGGACAGTTGCCCTGTTCACTTATTGAAGGGCGTTTGTGCTGCTTTCAGTTTTTGGTTATTGTGAATAAAGTAACTCTAGACCTGCACATACAGGTTTCTGTGTGAACACAGGTTGTGTTTCTTGGATAAATAGCCAGGTGTAGGGTTGCATACCAAGATGGGCATGGTGGTGCATGCTCTTGACCCCATCTACTCCAGAGGGAGGATCACTTGAGCTCTGTAGTTCAAGGGCAACATTGCTCCCTGACCACTTGCAAGCCAAGTGTCCATTAATATAAGAAGGAAAGATAATTTGTCACATGCCACAACATTGATGAGCCTTGAGCACCTTGTGCTCAGTGAGATAAACTGGTCACAAATGAATAATACCATGTGACTTTGCTTGTGTCGGGTCTCCATAGCCATCAGATCCAGAGGCAGAGGCCCTATCTTGAAAAAAGCATGATAAATATAAAGATATAGCTTAAAAGTAAAAGGAAAGAAAAAGATGTTAACATATTTCTGTTAACACCAGAAAAATCCAGGCTGACTAAAAAATGTCAAAAAGTTTTTTAAAAAGCCATGCACACCCGTGATTCCAGCAATTCTGGAGGCCGAGGCAGGAGGATCACAAGCACAAGGCCAGCCTGGGCAGCCTAGCAAGACCCTGTCTCAAAATGAAAAACAAAAAGTCGGGATGTAGCTCAGTGCTAGAGCACTTGACTGCCAATTGTGAGGCCCTGGGTTCATCCCAGCACAGCAACCCACACACACTCACCCACACACCAAAACAACCCAGCACAATACAACATCAACAGAACACGCAAACAAGCACCACACTCTTCCGGAGTGGCCATGCCATTTATATATCAACCTTTGGAAAGTGGCCTCAGGCCAGCTTCCTCGGAGGTATGCACGTGGAAGAGGGTTGCCAGGTGGCAGGATACGCCCTCCCGAGCTTCCCCAGATGTTGCTGCTTTGCTCTCAAAGTGGCTACTAATTAATGTACACACCCCTAGTGGGTTATGATGACTCTGTTTCTTAACACCCTTGTTAGCACTTTGCATTTGGACCTTTTTGTGGTTGCCTTCACTGACTGACTAGTTTGGAGGAGAACTCTAGGAAGTCTTTTCACATAGGCATATTTATTTAGTTTTTAAAATGGCCTTCTATTGCTTTATGGTTCTCACTAGATAGGTCTTATTTTATTAAGTATTTTAAAACTTATCTAATAATTTCTTTTGCTATTTTGAAAGGCTTTTTTTTTTAAAAAAAAATCATAGTTTCTTATTGTCACCTGCTGTATGATGCTGTTCATTTGGACATTATGAACCCTCCTGTTAGTGCTGACAGAGTGCCTGTAGATTTGCTTGGATTTTCCAGTAGACAGTCGGGCCGCCTGTCAATCCTGACTATCATTTCTTTGTAAACTTTTCATTCCTTTTCCTTGTCATATTGCATTGGCTACAATTGCCGTTCATGGCAATGGCGGGAGTCATCAGTCCCTAAAAGAGAGAGTGGGGATGGGTGCATGTGTCTCCTTGAAAGCGACAGCCCTGGGGAGGCAGGTGGGGAGGCCTGGAGCCAGCGAGTGTTGTGACCTGCAGGACAGTTGATTCCAGGGAGATCCGAGACGAGTTTCTGGGATGACAGTTTTGCACCATGGTACCTGCAGGAAGGACATTCTTTAGTCCCCAGTCTATACTAGTTGCTGTCCACCCACAGCTGGCTCTCTGGGTGCTTCCTGTGCTGCCTCGGTGCTCACGTGAGCGTCACATCCAGAGGCGCAGGCTAGGCCCTTGGCCTCACCAGGGTGAGGTGCCCAGCTCCATGCCAATGCTTCTTCTTCTGGGGGTTGAATCAGGGTGCTGGGGTGTAGGCTGGGCTGTGGGGGTGGCCCTGGGGGGCTTAACTCCCCCACTGGAGGGTGCTTGACTTCCTAGAGGCCCTTTTGGTCTCAAGAACTACCAGCTGGCGCCTTGGGGATTCCCACAGCTACACGCGGCCTGAGTTATTTGTTCTGGGTTTTGTCTGGTGTTAGGTGCCGGGATCTGTCTTTCTGGCCCTACACGGCTTCCACACAGGGCCTTGGCACTGACAAGGGGACGGAGGCCCCTACTGCAGAGGCAGATCCTGACAACACACTGGTTATCTCGGTCCAGGGGCCGGGTCTTCCCGTCAGCCGCTGGTCACCGGGAGCAGCCACAGCCCTGAGGTTTGGGCCTGCCCCTGTGCTGGGAGTCTACCAGGTTTCGTCAGTATTACGGAAATCTCCCTGGCTTGGAAGCACCGTAGCCATTGAAACTAACCCGGACAGCAAGGCTGCAGGGCAGTTTGGGGGCTGCACAGGAGACCCTTGGTCGTGGCCACCTACCTTAGGAGCAGTCCCCTGCAGCCCCCAGCCCCCACACCACCACCAGCTGTTTGCTGGCCCAGGTGGCCGGTTTCCTCCTCTCCCTGTCTGTACAGGTCTGTGTCCATAGGGTCCCCCAGGTCAGCTATTTCCTTTCTGCCTTGACTGAGAAACACAGGGCGCTGACCTCACTGTAGCCTGTCACTGCAGGTCCCTGCAGGCTAGAGCACCAGCCAGGCCTTGGACATTCCCAGGCACTGAGCAGGGCATTCAGGTCGTTGCCCCCAAACAAGGGATGACCAAACATGCAGTTCAACACTAGAGACTCACCCACCCAAACCGGGTCCCTTCTGCCTTCTGAGCACCACCCCAGCCTCACCGCAGACGTCGCTGGGCACTGTGTCCCCTCCCCTTGCTCTTGTCGCCAGGAGGCTGCAGCCCTCGGGGTGCCTTGGCCTTTACTGCTTGCTACTTCCTTTGGAATCCTAACTGGCCCCAGATCAGGACAGCCTGGGCCTCCCTGAGGGAATGTCCCTGCTGTGACTTTTGGGACAAGTCCAGCTGGTGGTAGCTGGTGGTCCACGAAGATTAGCCTTGTGGTGCTGGGCAGACAGGAAGGAGACACAGGAGGCAGGAGGCCCCTGGTGAGGCCAGGAATGGCCTGTGTGACAGGCTGAGACCTGCATGAAGAGATAGCCCCAGCCCAGCCCCGCAGGCCCTGCACGGACGGATCCGTCGTCCATGCAACACACCAGCTGTGTGGGCCGGGCCTCCCACCTTCCTCTCTGTTACTGAACTTACATGTTAGTCTCATGTCAAAGCCAGACCTTCTCAGAGTGGGCACGAGTCTGTGCGCCGTGGCCTCGTCTGCTCCAGTACTGACCCACTGGACACTTCCTCCTGGACGGCAGGGGCTCCACCAGTGTGTGATCACCCTGGCCTGCTGCGCATGGGCCCCACCACCTGTGGGGATGAGGCCCCTGCTCAGGCAGCTGCCTCTGGAGACCTCCCTGACATTCCCATTGTCCCCTTTTGGACCTGGAGCAGGCCGAGCCAAAGCTCATGTGCCCTGAGGCAGCTGGGCCTGAGGACGAGTGGCTGGGGAGGTCCTTGGGAGCAGGAATGTGCGCCTGTGCATGGACCAGCACCCGCGGGGATGCTGAGGCTTGGAGTCCACCGAGCAGTGGGGACGGCTGTGGGCAGGACGGCTGAGAGCCCGGGGAAGGCAGGCGGCGTCCCCAAGCACCCCTTGGTCCCTGGGCCACCCCCCTTTCTCATGGCCTCCCCACTTCTCTCTGACCTTCCGTCTCTCACACGTCAAATAACCAAAACCCTGAGCCTGGTTTCCAGAATCTGCAGAATGAGGTCCGAGTTCAAGGACCAGGAGGGAGAGAGGACGGGAATAGGGTACCAGAAGTTTCCCTGGGGAGCTGGGGACTGCTGTGATCTGTCTCCCCGACTGGGCCTTCAGAGGTGTGAGGTCCTGCAGGCGGAGCCCTCCTCAGAGGGACCAGAGCCCAGACACAGACCCAGAGCACACCCTCGGCCGTCCCTGGTCACAGGTCCAGCTCCACCTCCCACTTGGACTCTCAGGAATCACTTCTCTTGTTGATAAGCCCCACCCCGCCCCCCGTGTCTAGTGTTTGTGACACACCTGAGCTGGCCAAGACAGAACTGCGAAGGAGGCCACGATGACCCGGCGGAGGAAGCCACAGCGACCCCGCGAAGGAGGATCTGCAGTGAGGGTCAGGGCTGGCCAGTCACTGGTGTTCCTGCCGGTGACAGCCACAGTGCATGGAGGGCCACGCCGTACCTAAAGGGCTCTGGTCTGGTTCAGGGCGTGTGGAGATCACAGTACAGTCACAGGTTTTGGTCCCGTATGTCCCAGCCCTTGGGAGGATAGACATGAGCACACAGTGGGTGTGGGTAAGTGGGTTTATTAGATGTCTAAGGACAGAGGTCTGAGCTCTGAGATTGTAGAGCAAGCAGCTGAGGACCCCCTGCTGCTGCAGGCTGCCTGTGATGGGGAAGGGTGGGGATGGGCACGGGCAGCAGGGGTGAGGAGGGTCACCAGAGGTTGGAGGAGGAGGCACTGGAAGCCATTCTCCTTGGAGACAAGGGCCTGTGGCATTTCTTGGCAGGAGTCCAGAGAGAAGTGTGCATGTTTGGCAAGGGAGGACAGGAGAGAGGACTGTGGGTGGAGAAAAAGTGGCTCAGAGGGTGCCAGGAAGTAACTGGGAAAGTCTGGGCAGGAATCCCTGACTCCTGACCAGGAATGGCACCAACCTGGTAAGAACCTTGCAAAGTTGAAAATCAGAAATCAGATCTTGCACTGGCAGCACACGGGGACACAGCAGCTGGACTGGCAGCAGGAGGACCCACAGCCTGAAGAGCAGCAGGGCTTGCAGCAGCTGGACTGGCAGCAGCAGGGCTTGCAGCAGCTGGACTTGCAGCAGCTGTCCTGGCAGCAGCAGGGCTTGCAGCAGCTGGACTGGCAGCAGCAGGGCTTGCAGCAGCTGGACTGGCAGCAGCAGGGCTTGCAGCAGCTGGACTGGCAGCAGCTGTCCTGGCAGCAGCAGGGCTTGCAGCAACTGGACTGACAGCAGCAGGGCTTGCAGCAGCTGGACTGGCAGCAGCAGGGCTTGCAGCAGCTGGACTTGCAGCAGCTATCCTGGCAGCAGCAGAGCTTGCAGCAGCTGGATTGACAGCAGCTGGACTTGCAGCCCCCACAGGAGCCACAGCCCCCCTTGCAGCCCCCACAGG